GCTCTCGCCTCGGCGCCTCGGCGCCTCCTCCTCCTCCTTCCTCCTTCCTCCTCCTCATCCTTCTCCTCCTCCTCCTCCTCCTCCTCCTCCTCCTCCTCCTCCTCCTCCTCCTCCTCGTTCTCCCCCATCCCCCTCCTCCCCCTCCTCTTCGTGGTCCTCCTCCTCCTCCTCCTCCGTCGCCCTCCTTTGGCCTCCTCTCGAGAGCCGGCGTGCCGTCCCCCTGCCAGCGTCGGGGCTCCACAGCTGGGGGTCGATGCAAGCGGAGGTCAGCCAGGGCGCCGGATCCCGCAGGATCCTGTAGGGCTGGGGGCTCACTGACCCGGCCTTGGGCGCAGGATCCCGCAGGATCCTGCAGGGGCCGACCGACCCAGGTCTGGATTGATCTGGGCCAGCAGATCCCCGACAGCACTTGACATGAACACGGTCACGGGCGGTCTTTCTCACCCACTCCCCGAGCTCCGCCCCGAAAAGTCTGGCCGCTTCAAACAAAAGGGGGGAACCCTGGGATACACCCACGGGGGCTACTCGGGCGCACCCCTGTCGAGGATGACTACGACTCTTCTCTACCCTGGTACTGTCTGGTACAGGCGCCGCCTCTCGTGCGGGTTTAGTTGTGCCACCGTCTCCATAAAAAAGGTTCCCGAGGACCCGCGCGCCCGAGAATCCCCAAACTGATAGATGGCCTCGCTGCACTAAGTGTTCGTCGTCGTCGTCGCTTTTGTCACTGTCGTCGTCGTCGTCGTCGTCGTAATCGTCGTCGTAGTCGACGTCGTTGTCGTCATCGCCGTCGTCGTCTCCCGCCTTGTCCTAGTTGTCCTCGCTGGCTTCCTCCTCCTTTTCCTTCTCCCCTTGGCCCCCTTCATCCCCCTCGTCCATCCTTTCGTCTGGTCCCTGGCCCTCTCGCATTGCAAATGTCATTCAAGGGACAGGGCGTCATTCGATAATTGGACCGTCGAAGCAGAAAATGCGGCGCTCAACGAGATGGGATCGGAGCGAGGAGGGGATGGCAGATGTACCTCGAGCGCACCTGTATTGCCTTCCTCCACCTCACCTCTCCCACCTCCCCCTGTCCCTGCCTCCAGGGTGTATCTCTTGCTGCTCTCCACCAACAGGTATCGGCCCGCCGGTATCCGCGCACCTACATCGCGGTTGCTCTCCTGGCCGCTCGGCCCTCTTAGTTGCCTTCCATGTCCCGCGGAGTTCACTGTTAGGCGAATGAGCAACAGCAGAAGAAGGAGGAGCAGCAGCAACAAGAGGAGGAGGAGGAGGAGGAGGAGGAGGAGGAGGATGCAGCGGATTAGGAAGAGATGGTTACGGCGGACGGAGGGACCATTTGCGACGCTGTTTGTTGTTCCCCTCTCCCGCCCCCCCATGCTTTGCACTTGTCCCTGCCCTTGCCCGCCTCCCTCTACCGCAATCCGCTCCCCTCCTCTCATCTTTTTCCTCTCCCCCCTGCCCCCTCACCCTCATGCACCCCTTCCTCTCCCCTCCTTTGCGTGAGACGTGGTCGGTTGCGGAGAGCTGGCCACGAGCCTGTCAATTCAGGCTGTACCCTCAAGTGTCAGATTTGGATCGTAAGGCTTGTCCTCGTGGTCAAGTGCGTTCTTTCTGCCCTTGACCCTGTGCGAGATCTGGACACCCTGCTCCCGACCCCCTCGGGCACCCTGTGCATCCCACGTGTCCTGCCACACACAGGCCTCAGGTGCTTCGAGGGACTGTCTAGGGTGAGAGGTGTGGCGCACATGCCACCGCCAGTGCACAAGAGTCTTGCTCATCCGTGCAGGGTCGTGGATCGGCCTAGTTGTGTCCCGACTGCCCAGCCCCCCCCCCAAAAAAAACAGCACGGAAGTAGCCTCCCCCAGCTGTCGTGTGTCGTTGTTTGTGCCCAGGCTTGACCTGGTCCCCACTGGCTTCTGAGCCTGACCCCCCCCCCACACACGCCGTCCTCGCCTCTTCTCTCCCTCCCCCTCCTCCTCCTCCCCGTCCCCTGCTCGATCCCCTCCCCTCTCCCCTCTTCTCCCCGCTCCTCTGTTTACCATCCCTCTCATGTCCGTCTATGCGCCGCCTCCCCCCTTTGCTTGCGCCTCCTCTTCCTTTCATGGCCGTGTGATATCACTCATCCCTTCCCCTTGTCGGCCTCCCTTCCCATGGCGTGCAGCTCGTGGGAGCTAGGATCCAGCATCGGCTCTGGTACATCCTTGGCCGACATCCAGCCTGATCCTGTTGAGTCCCGCTTGATATGCTATGGCGGCTAAGTCTGGCGACTTGTGCGTTCACCAAAGATGATGGACTATAGCTGACTAGCCCTTGCATCGGGCGTAGCAGTCCTTACTCGTCCCTGCGAAGGTCTCCCAGGAGCTTCCTCTCAACTCCCCTTCGTCCGTTCAAGTTCCCCGTCCCCCTTCCGTCCCCCCTCCCCCTTCATCACCCCGCCCATCACCCCTTTTGGGAAAGGATGAGGAGGACGGCACGAAACGGACGAATAAACATGTCATGAGGGAGGGGAGGTGGAGGTAATGGAAGGGATTTCTCCCACTCGACCCAAGCTGTGATCCCATTTGTTGCTGGAGTTTGTTCACAACGACCTCCTCCTCCTCCTCCTCCTCCTCCTCCTCCTCCTCCTCCTCCTTCCCCCTAATTGCTTCATCCCTCCTGACTCCCCCCTTCCCCTCTTCGGCTACCCCCTCCTCTGTCTTGTTTCCTCTCTCTCTCTCTATCCCGCTCTCTCTCTCTCTCTCTCTCTCCCTCTCGTTCCCTCCCTCTCCCTCCCTCCCTGCCTATTCCCTCTGTCTGTCTTGCCCACCCTCCCTCCCGCCCCGTACCTCCCCGTTCCCTCCCGTCGTGCCCCTTCCCCTCTCCTCCCTTGCCGCTTCCTTCGCACCTGGAATACGGTGAGGGTATCGCGGAGGCGTGTTGCCCGAGCTGTCCTTCGATGCTTCTTCGCAAGCTTGCCTTCACAGTCCGCGGTGGTGTGCCAAAACGTGGGCGGGCGAGCCGTCTCGGCACGCGCGCTGCGTAGATCGGGCACGGGCTGCCTCTGTGAGCGGGTGCTTCTCGGGGGAGGCGTGTGCGCACGCAGCGGCGGCGACGGCGGCGACGGCGACGGAGGCGGTGGCGACTGCGTCGAGGAGAGCGGGTCAGTGGGCAGGCCTTGCAGGCCGAGCTGCGGTTGCGTGGGGCCCAGTCCCGGTGCTGGCCTGTGTCTCTGGCGGCCGGCGCCAGACTGCGTGCCCTGCCTCGAGGCCCATACAGTGCCGTTTTGATACATGCTCCGCGTGCGGATCATGCATACGTTGATTCATACACTGATCATATATTAACAATCCTATTTTTTACAAACAATCCCATGTTTTAAAAACTGCCCTGTAGGCTCGTGTCTCGAGGGCGGGGGCTCTCGGAGGCCCAGGCCTGTGGAGAAGTCTGGTCTGGTGCCGCCTCTGCGGTCGCTGTCTGTGGTGCCCCTCCTGCTGGACATGATGAAGGTTCCTTAGGGAACCAACAAGTGGCATAAACATAACAACTCGGAGGTCCGCGCGGATTTCTCGGATCGGCGTTGGACCCCCCTCCCTGGCGCGCGGAGCGCGCCAGGGGCGGCGCCGGAGGCGCCGCAGGGGGGCCCCAGCGCCGATCCGAGAAATCCGCGCGTACCTCCGAGTTTTTATGTTTATGTCACTTTTTGTTCCCCTATTCTTGTGCTCATCTATCATCAGCTGATTTGGTCTCTTTGCATCCGGAGGAAGAAATGTTACCCATACCGCTACCCCTCCCTCGCTTTCCCTTTTTGGGGCCTCCTTTGAGGCCCTCGTTGCCACCGCTTGATTCGCCTCGGAATTCTGGTCAGAGCTCGCCCCAGGAGAGGTCCGGGGAGTAGGAATGTCGGTACCGTTTCGTTTCTCCAGTGAAGGCTCTTGTGTTCATTTATTCTCATGTGACTGGTCCTTTCGACTTCGGAAGAGGAAAAGGTACCCATACCACTACTTGCGCCTGTTTTTCTTTTTTGGGGCTTCCTGGGAGGCCCTCGTCGCCACCGCTGGATTCACGTCCTCCACGGTTCATTTCTGCTGGGCAGCGATGTTATCGACCATGTCAAGAAATTTGCTTGCAATTGTCAGTGCCGTTTTTCGCGTTGGTCGTGTGGTGGTCGTCACCGTCGATGTCGTGGTGACGATGCTGGTGGCGAATGTATGGCACTTCGTGTTCTGGCGACCCTCACTCTAGACGAGTTTGGTGTTGTTGGTGGTGACGTGCTTTTGGTTGGTGGTCGGATTACCCGTGCCGGTCTCTGGCGGAGTCCGCGCAGCGGTGTGGCGTCTCCGATGCTTTTCCCCGCGCTCCCCGCACGAAGGAGCGAGCTCGGATCGATATCTCGCAGGCCTAGAGATTGACACCAACACCAATATCGGCGGTGTGCCTCTACCGAGGGGAGAAGATCCCGATCTCGGTGATGGTGGTAATATTCACGCTTTCAAGGTGACGGAAATATTACCATTTCCAGGCCTTGAAATATCGCTGTGGGCCGCCCGCGGGGCGGCGACCGTTGAATGGCCAAGGGGCCCGTGTGAGCCGAAGGGCAGCAGGCGTGAGGGGTGGAAGACAGGAGGGGGCGCGGCCAGCAAGGAGGAGGGAAGGATAAGCAGGGAGACTGACAGCTCGCACTCCAGCAGCTCCGCCTCATTGCCCCGTCACGGTTCTCGGCCACGCCTGAGATAGGAGAAGGTTTGTTGTCGGCAGAGCTCGACAAGTTAGAGTTCACACATATGAAGTTGTAGCTGCATTCGTCAGAATAGGAGGTATGGACACGGGCGCCTGACTCGTCGAGCCTGGCCTCGATTCCGCGAGGATGCTCCTCGCGTTCTTCTCCGATACGCAGGCTCCACGGCGGCGCAGCCTCCCACTCGTAGGTGTCTCTCGGTCGCAGTACCAAGCCGCGCCACGCGCCGTACTCGTAGCCTTCTCTCGACCAATCTGGTCGCCAATCGGACTGTGGTGTCTGAAGACGCCTTCGGCCACGCGAATGATGACTGGGATATTCTCGAGGCCCTTCTCGGAGAGCTTGTCGCTGATGCTGGAGGACGCGAGATCGCTCGGCACTTTCTTGGATTCGGCCTTGGCGGCCCGAGCGCCGATCTCTCGATGGATCACGGTGCTGCCTGTCTGCCGGTCCTTCCGGCAGTGGCACGCCTTCGCGGCCGCTGGCCTGAGCATGTCGTCGTCTACCTCCACGGGGTCTTCATGACTGCCGTTCCGGCTGGCTCTTTGTCGTGGCGTGCTCGTTGTCGTGGCGGTGCTCCTGGTTCCCGCGGTGGTTTCGTGATCGCCCGCCTCGCGCCTGCCAGCTGCCTCCTCATTTGCCACATGAGGCACGCCATGGCCAACACCACGACACTCAGCATCAGGAGCAGGAATGCCGAAACCCTGGCTGGCATCTTCACCACCTCCAGTAGGAGTCTGCGTCGTCGCTGCTGTCGAAAGAGTCGTACAAGAAGCAAGGACCACGATGCGGCGATACGCGTAGCCAGTGTCGCCGTCGTTCTCCAGGATCTGGCCGCACTCGGGGTAGTCCAGGATGGTCGTGCACATGATGGCGTCCTGTTCGTCTTCGTACCGAAGAATGCCAGGAGCAGAGCCGCCGATGTGAGCAGCTTGTTGAGGTCTTTTGCCACCAAGCTTCCGTACGTGTTCAGATCAGAACGATAATCTCCAAGGGTTCCATGCACTGACGCAACATCGACACAACGATGCGTGGTCTCATATCCGCACAAGCTCCACTATCTCGGTTTCCTGTGATCTTCAGGTTTACGTCATCCGTCACCACTGCAAGTTTCCTCCTTGTGGACTGTTTATCCGTGGTGTCGCTGGTCGAGGAGAGCTCTTACAACACTTACTCAAAAATGGGCCATGCCCTATCGCTTCGCTGATACTGTAGGCCTCTTCCGCAAGCGTGGAACGCAATACGCGCTTCACCCGGAAGCTGGCCCGCACCAGAGGAACTTGCTTGTCGCAGGCGCCGAGGATGACCCGCTGGGGATCGCTGGCCAAGCACAGCACGGCGCTGGCCTGGCTCTTCTCGCCCTCCACGTTGGCGAACGAGGAGCCCCTGGAGGCTAGGACCGTCGTGTCCTTCCCTTACTCCTCACCGAGCCTTCCTTGAAGTAGAGGCCGTTCTCGATCGTCTCCTAGACGTCGTCCACCAGCATGTTGGTGGCCACAAGATCTGCGACTGTGGGCTCGGACGTTCGCTGGGCCAAGCTGTTCTGCACGTAGGCGATGCCTGTTCGAGTCCGATGGGCAAGCCACTGCAGCTGACCATTCGTACAACGGAAGGCACTCAGATCCTCCTCAGTCACGATGTCCTCGCTCACCTTCTTACGCTGGATGCCCACGTCGATGTATTCCAGGGCCTTGACTGCCTTCGCCTGTGATACTCGGATTCCGCGCTCGCCCAGGTCGATCTGCGCTCCGCAGTAGTCGAACGATCCATCCTTCTTCGAGGATCGCGACCGTCCACGTGGCTGTGAAGGACCATTCTCAGCTCGCCATCGCTGACGTACCTGCACACGCTTCGCTCGAGCCCTGACCCGTAGATAACGCACCAGGCCCGGCAAGCATCCTTGGCACCGTAGATCGAGCCCTGAGCGTAGATCTTGGCATCTCTCGGACGTGTGCATTTTTTCTCTGCGACGGCCATCGAAGAGCATCCTGGATCATCGATCGGCAAAAACACGCACGAAAACGAGCATTGCACGTTGAATGGACGTCCGAGAGATGGCAAGAGAACACTTTGCCTGGATGCGTTGGACGCCTCATGGGTATACGGATCAGCAAGAGACGGTCGATCCCCTCGGCCTGAAGGTACGCCGACTTCGAGTAGTGAGAGCACCCTGTCCAGCCGTCTTGTGACATGAACCCGGGAGTTACCATCAGCGGGTCCACCGAGCCCGTGGGGGCGTCGCTCCTGATGCACGCCGAACGCTCGTGGCAGCCCTGGACTAGCAGCCTTGATTAGTACTTGGACTTCTCCATCTGCTGGAGGGTTACCACCCACCTGGTGACGACAACCTTGGCGCCGTTATTCAGATAGCGCTGCACCTCGTAGTCAGGGCAACGGCGGGCAGCTCCAAAGGCCATCCACGTGTCCCACTCGTCCTGAATGGAGGCCAACAGCTCTCGGATGTCGCTCCCGGTGATCGCGTCCAGGTCGACTTCCTTGGAGCGAGCTGATCTGGTGAGGTAGCAGCCTCTGACGCATTCGACAATCAAGACGAGGGTGTGGCGCGCGTCCTTGTCGGGAGGCGTGCCGTTCTGGCTTCCGCCAGCTCTGGCAAGAGATATGGAGCCCGAGCGTCGCAAGATAGAGTTGGGAGCGTCGTCCACGTGGCTGTAGCGGGCTGTTCTGAGCGGCGTCATGCCACCGCCCACCAAACCACCCCAACCCAACCCGAAGGCCCCGATTTGCCCTCCATTTCTGGTGGTGGGGGGAGTGTCGGGGAGGATCGAACAACAAAAAACATGAAGCCCGTACCCCCCCAACCCGAAATTCGGGACTCCAGGTTGGGTTGGGGTGCTCTGGCAGGTAGTCAGGATGAGCTAGCCGCACCAGGAGTCTGTGCAGGTACTTGCTCCTGCTCCTCCTTGGGCTCGGTCCTCGAGGGCTTCTGGTAGGACGGGCAGTCCTCGAAACGGGGGCTCGTTCTCCTCGGCCCGTCTTTGGTACATGTCGTCTCCGTGGGGTACTTCGGGCTCCTCCGCGTCCTGGAACTCGTCTTGGTCCCGATGATCCCATGATGCGGGTAGCTGAGGTGTCTTCTTACATCCTTATCGCGCATCCTTACTCTGCGGGTTGACTGTACAAGATCGAGGTCGGCTCGAGAATGGTACCCTAATGTTCTTCATGTGTGTTGGATATTATTGTGCATCCTGGGGAAGGGTACCCTCGAGTGATCTTATGGTTTGGGGTGGTTTGGCCAGCGAATGGTCCCGTGTTCTTGAAGGATGTTTTTCTGTCTTAGGTCCGACTGTGTCTTCCTGTCACTCGTCAAGCAACGCTGCCACCACGCGCTCACGGCGGTCAGCATTCAGGCTGCACTTCGTGAGGAGCTGCCACCCGAGGACACCATCCGAGGGTATCGTCTTGATCTGCGAGCTGCATGCCGTCGTCCTCGAGCCTCTGGAGGCCCTCCGGGAACCTCGTGATGGAGACCGTGATCCTTTCACCCTGGCGCCTATTGTACGTCAAACTCTCGAAGGACTCGCCCCTGGACTCCCCGCGCCGCACCGCCTGTTCAGGATTTGACCGCTTCCTCAGAGGCCTGCAGCACCTTCTTGATAGCCCTCGTGTGATCCCGCGCCACTGCCTCCTGGACTGCCAGGCTCGGGTGCTGCCAGAAGTGCCCCTGGCCCAAGGTGCCCCCAGGATTTCCAGGGGGGCCTCCACGGCCTCCAGCGCACCCCTCACGAGGCCCGGGGGGTTCCAGGGGCTCCGAGACGGAGCGAGAAAAGCTAGAGGGGCCCCCTGGGCCAGGGGCACCTTCAGTAACCCGCGACAGGCCGTCGTCGTCCATCCCGCGGGGCACCGCTGGCGTTGGCTGGAGAGCTTCTCTCGCAAGATGCGCAGAGGCCGACCCTGCTCGCTGCACCCCTTCCGCCTCGACGCGAGGCGGGGCGCCACGCAGCAGCTCACGCCGAAGCGGACCCCAAACGCCCAGATCTCCACGTCGTCACGATATCTTTAGGGCGGGCCTGTCCCTCTACAGGAGTCAAAAAATAATACGGGGACGATGCTTCTAGTATTTTTGACTATTTTTGAACATGTTGGACTAATTCTTCATTTTTCCTCCAAAATCCGCCTGTAGGAGGACATGCCCGACCTAACGATATCTCCTCCAGCCCTGCGGTGCGCCATCCGAGCAGCCTTCTCCTCCACCAGGGCCACTCTCCAAGCTGCACGCTCGGCTGTGCACGCACGCCCTCGCTCTCGAAGATGGTGAGCTTCAGCACGCAGATGGAGGTTGCGCGGGCTCGTCACTGACGAGATTGCCGTGGATCGCCGGCACTGCCAGCCCTGCTACCACTGGCGGAGTCCGCGCAGCGGTGTGGAATACCTGATGTTTTTTTCTGGCGCGCCGCACGAAAGAGGCGAGCTCGCCTCGATATCGCTGTGGGACGTCCTACGCAGCGTTCGTAAAATGGTCAAGGGCCCTGTGTTGGCCAAACGGCAGCGGGCGTGAGGGGTGGAAGCAAGAGCGGAGGCGAGCAAGGTGGAGGGAAGAAGAAGAGGCAGGGATACTGACAGCTCGCACTCTAGCAGTCTCGGGGAGCTCGGAGCCTTAAACTCTGTGCCAATGCCAACGCTGTTTCCCTGCGCCTTTCCCGTAATTATGATTCTGCTGATTGGTCTTCTTGAGCCAACAGAGCGGGGGTCAGGGCGGGCCCCTTAGTGGGTAGTAACGGGCACGCGCATCATGCAATTAGCGGGTGTCTGGAGGAATCGCAATCGGTGGGCGTTCGGGGGTACGGCTTCGACGATGCCCGCTACCAATCTTTTCAATAGTTTCACGCGGTCACCCCCTCTGGAAAAGTAGCGCTAGATCGCGCGAAAAGCACCTGGAGCGCCCAAGTGCGCCCCTTAGAGAGTATTACCATGTTCAGTGCATGCAGAGGACTCCCAGGGACCCAGGGGCACTCCACTTCGTGCCTCGGGTCACGGTGGCGGATCCTCCAGTGGTCACTGTCCTCCGAGGGGCTCGTTGACAGTGGTGGTTGTGACCTGGCTCAGCTCTAGGTGGATGAGTTTCCGGAGGAGGAGAAGGATGAGGAGGATGAGGGGCGGAGGGCCGGAGTGAAAGAGTGAGCCTGATGAGTGGGGAGTGTTAGGTTCAGCGCCCGAGTTTGGCCCCAGTTGTTGGTGCAGCTTGATATTGCCTGCTGTATTTGAGATGTGTCTTGTGTTGGTTTACCGGGGGCTCAGTGAACTGTACCGATCTGGAAGTTATGCATGGTAGTGTAGCGAGGTTATCCGTGGCCGAGCAAGCAGCCCCCCCCTACATTTTGCGAGCACTTGCTCGTCACGTCCTGAGGTCGTTTGAGTCTTGGCCCGTCCCATACACCGATGGCAACTACAAATGTACATTCATTCACTCAGGTAAACTACGATGGTTTCGTCGATTCCATTGGCTAATGTATCGGATAACCAAATAGTGGATGCACAAGCCCGGATGCATGCGTCGTGATGAATTTGAAAGGGCGAACGCTGCGTTCCCACGTCCAGATGTTGAACCGCGAGCCCCGGATAATAAATCATACCCCCCACCCCTTCCTGAGAGTTGATTCTCTCCGGCCAAAACAGAGTCAGTCCGGGGAGAGGGGCGGCAAGGCCGAACTTGATTATCGCGAGGGGAAGTTTCGAATCGAAGTTGCTATCTTCTTATGATGAGAATGTTCGCAAGAGAGTCTTCCTGGCGAGGAGCGCCAAGGATCTGAAGAGTGCGGGCAAGCTTTGGGCCTTCACGGAAAAGACTGCGAGAAACATTATCCTCGTCGTCGTAGTCGTCATCGTCGACGTCGTCTTCGTGCGACGACGACGACGACCT